CATTCAAGATTAAAAAAATATTAACTGCTGCAACTGATTAATTTCATAATGATAATAATAATAAATATTATTACTGATAACTTTTTTTATTAATTTATATATTATAAAAAAAGAATCACTTAATCAAAAAAAAAAAAATAAATCTAGTGGAAAGTAATTAATTAAATACCACAGTTGTGTGAAAAAAAATTACTCCAATATTATTGGCATCATTCCTATAATATTATTGGCATCATTCCTATAATATTATGGAAACTATTCCTATAATATTATGGAAACTAATCCTATATATTATGGGAACCATTCCTATATATTATGGGAATAATGCCGTTATTACAGTTATAATTATAGGTATCGTTCCTATAATTATAGGAACCATTCCCATAATTATAGTAACGTTTCCCAAAAATTATGGGTATAATTCCCATAATTTAAGTAATCGCTCCTAAAATGGTATAGGAAAATATTTCATTAAAATTATAGGAATGATTTCCACATTTTTCTCTCCGTGTATTTCCCAAATTCATAAACAATGTAAGAGTGGCTTTTAGTTCTTTCTAGAGTCGAATACTATTTTATTGGATATCGAAAAACCATAATTATAAATTTTTCCGATCTCTTTTTATTTTGCCAACTTTTCTATAGAAATTGATCAACTTCAATGGAACAATATTTTCCGCGAGAGGGAGAATAGAAAGGCTCTCATAGCCGGATTCCGGAGGTCTGTGGTCTATCTTGTTCCTGACGAGATTCTTTCGGGTACAGCAGTCCCCATTATATTACTACAAATTAATTAGGAAAGTCGAGGTCATAAAACGAGAAACAGGGTTTAATTAATTCGAGCCGTTGGAGCTGTACTGCGGAACTGAAATTCGCTCTACCTCAAAATGATCCGGTCTGTCCTCGGTCTCTCGAACCGAGATAAAGCTTCATAGCGAAAGCTTACTCGCGGTACGGGTCTCGCCGACTGGTGGACCTCCAGCTAGTAAAGTTGCTTCCGTGCGAACGGAACCGCAGCCCTTTGGAACTCATAAAGCTCGGAGACTAGCTGAGTAACGAGTAAGCACGAAGAGCTAGTTGTAACTTGCGGCTTACGAATTTGTAGGTAAAAGTTTGCTAGGACTCCTGTTCGCTGCAAGGATTAGAACCATATGCAAGCTGCTTAAAGACTGACTATGGTATAATTCGATAAAAATTTTACCAAAAGCTTTATTTTCGCATATGCAGTTATAATTAGTGGCTTGTTACGTAGGATTTGTCTTGATTTGGTTATAATGTCCCACAGAGAAAACTAAATAGTAAAACTTACTCAAATTCTGGTTACCATTTAATGTTTGAAATGGCACAATGGAATCCGGAGTGACATATCATTAAATATTAACAATTATAATGTAAAAAGTATAAAAAGCAAACATTTATTTATTTACTACTAGACGACCCGGTGAACTTCGTATCATCTACATATATTTGTGACAAGTATAGTCAAAACTTAATATAAAATTTTTATTTACATTAAATGCAACATAGTTATACACTTAATTAATTTAAAGCTTTCTGATGGAGTACATTTTTTATCTTTTTTGACTCACGAACACTTGACGTATAATTTCCCATGTACGAAACACGGAAACTCTGATTTAATTTCGCAAATTTTCAGCGACTGGCCTGGCGATTTATTGATAATCGTCAGTGCGGTTTGAACGTGAGATAGCTCGTCCCACATTTGATTAACTTCGACAACCTAAGTTAGGTCGTCTTCTCCTTGGTATTTTGAAACAATAACAATAAATTTTTAAATTTGAAAATTTTCTGAATTAGTACAAAAAGAAAAATAGAATGTGTTTTACTATAAACTGTTTTTTAACATACATTATTTTAATTGACTACTTTCATGTACTGGTTATGGTAAGAATTTTTATAGTTGTTGTGAGGATTGTAATAGAGCATAATGGAATTGGATTGTTTTTATAAATTTATGTATGTATTTTTTAGAGCCTGATGAAAACTCAATAAAGAATCGAAACGTCGCAATAATAACAATAACATGACTGTTTAATTTGTCATTTATTTTTCCAACTACCTGCGAATTTTTTCATAGTATTTTTATGTTTTGGATGCGATAGATAATGGAAAGTTTGGAATAAGCTTATGTCTTTAAAAATACCTTTTTTTTTTATTTTTTTTTTTTATTTAATTATTTAAAGTCGCTATACAACTGCAATGGTCATGAGCGACTACATAGATTTTTACAATAACAAAAACTTAATTATAATTAGAAAACATTATATTTGGTTAATTAGTTTCGTATTCTTCAAGAAGTTGATTAGTGATCTGATTCCGTTGGTGGACTGGAAGATGTTGTTAAGTTCTTTTGGTAGCCGGTTTTTATCCCTCTGTTCACAGAGGGAGATGCAGGTTATTAGGATGTGCTCGACTGTCAGTGAGACGTTACAAGTAGGGCAGGTGGGTTGTATACTTTTTTCGAGAAGATAAGCGTGTGTTAGTTTGGTGTGACCAATTTTTAGTCTAGTAATCTTGACCTGTTCTTTTCGTGATTGTTGAGTGAGCAGATTTGATAGACTGTCTGGGATTAGATGAGAGGGGTTTTTCTTGTTCCAGTAAGCGAGTACAGATTTTTCCAGTGATTTCTTTGCGTCTTCCCATGGTAGCAACGCTTCGGGGTTGATGTGGTGTCTGGTGGTGGCTTCTTTTGCAAGCTCGTCGACTCTCTCGTTGCCTGGAATGCCTTGATGAGATGGTATCCACACAAAGTTTACTTCTGTAGGTTGTAGTTGATATAGCAGAAAGTGAATTTCCTGTACGATGGGGTTAGTTAGTAGATCTTGGGTCTTCAATTGCTCGGATACTAGAGCTGGAGTCAGTATAAATGACCAAGTTTTGGTCAGTGAGATTTTCCTTGGCCAGTTGTAGGGTTTTCCAGATAGCGAATAGTTCGCAAGAGAAGATTGAGTATGCATCAGGTAGTTTGTGTATTTCTGTGGTATCTTCAGAGAATAAGGCACAGCCTGCTTTGTTGTCCTTCTTGGAGCCATCAGTGTAAATTTCTAGGTAGTGCGGGTAGTTTGCTTTAGTTTCTTGGAACAATGATTGATAGTTCCTTGCAGTTGTGATTTTTTTATCTCTTTCTGCCAAGTTCCAGTTTGTGTTGATTTTAATGGTTTCCCAAGGTGGTACTGGATGGATTGTTCTTTTGTACATGCCTAGGAGAGAAAAGTTTAGTATTGCTAGGTAGGATTTAATTCTCACGCGTAGCGGTTTGGGATAGTTAGGATGGTTTGTGTACTCCTGGTCCAAGTAGCTGTTGTGAGACAGTAAGTTTGATCCTGAGGAATGAGCTTTCATTGCATATAGTATGGTCTGTTGGTTTCTTATAATATTTAATGGTAGTTCGTTCGATTCTACCAGGATGCGGTTTGTTGGACTGGTTCTGAATGCTCCCAGTGCCATTCTGAGTCCAGTGGTTTGGACGGATTCAAGAGTCTTTAAGCTGGAATTGGAAGCGGAGCCGTAGATCTCTGCTCCGTATCCCACTTTGGGTCTTATTAGTACTTTATAGGTGTTGCATAGGACTTCAGCTGAAGCACCCCATTGTGTGGGTGCTAAGACTTTAATGATATTCATTCGTCTTTGGCAGTCTGCTCTTAACCGGGTGATGTGTGGTTGCCAGGTGAGTTTGCTGTCCCAAATGAGCCCAAGGATTTTTATTGAGTCTGTTTTGGAGATTGGTTTGTTGTTCAGGTAAAGTGGGTAGTCTTCTTTGATGTTGCCTCTGGAGAAGATCATATACTGCGATTTTTCGGCGGAAAATCTGAAGCCAGTGTTGTTGCACCAGCCTGTGAGTCTATCCAGTGTATCCTGCATCAATCTGGTGGTGGTATTTAGGTCTTTTCCCGGGCAAGCTATTGTGAGGTCATCTGCGAACAGGTAGGCTTTCAGTGGTGGGAGAATTTGCTTTAAAACACTATTTATTGCTACGAGAAATAGGACTACTCCGAGGACGGAGCCTGTAGGAACTCCATTTTCAGTATCTACTGGTTCTGAGAAGGCATTGTTATATCTTACTCTAATTTTCCGAAGTTTGAGGAAGTTCTTGCAGAAAGCCAATGCATTGCCAGTCAGTTGATTTTCTTTGAGTGTTTCTATGACTTTCCCCTTGCAGACCATTTCATACGCTTTTTCCAGGTCAAGTGAGGTCACAATTAGATGTTGTTTATTGATGAAGGCATCACATACTTCTGCTTCGAGGTTAGCAAGGTAGTCTGTGGTTGATCGGTGGTGGCGAAATCCATATTGGTTATTGTCAATCCACTCCTCGTTGTTCATTTTCCATCTCAGTCTTTTCGTTATCATTTTTTCCAAAATCTTACACACGTTGCATGTGAGTGATATGGGTCTGTAGCTGATAGCTTTATACGGGTCTTTGTTGGGTTTGAGAATTGGGACCACTGTTGCCTCTCTCCAAACTTCAGGGAATACTTGTTCGGTCCAGACGAGGTTGTAGAGTTTAGGGAGATATTCTTTACCTTGTTTTGGAAGTTGTTTAAGCAGGGCATTGGGAATATTGTCGGGTCCAGGGCTAGAATCTCCGCTGTTATTGAGAACAGCATTTAGTTCTTCGGCAGAGAGTGGTATATTGATAGGGTCTAGGTTTTCATTGCCAGGGTTTGGTTCATTGTGTTTGAGGTTGTTTTTGATGGTCCGGAACTTTTCATCATAATTCTCATCACTTGAGTTTTTAGCGAAGGTTTCAGCAAGGTGGTTAGTAATTGCGACTGGGCTTGAAGTGACGGAATCTTTGTCTATTTCCAGGAATGATACAGGTGAATGGTAAATCGAGTTAATGGACTTAATTTTTTTCCAGAGTACAGAAGTAGGTGTTCGTGGGTTGATGGATGAAACGTAGTTCTGCCAGGAAGCTTTCTTGCTTTCTTTGATAGATTGTCTGGCTTTAGCTCGGTGTTTTTTATACTCTATTTTATTTTCCTCTGTTTGGAGTTTCTTGTAGGTTCTGTAAGCTTTCTTAGATGCTTTTATGGCTTTGTTACACTGATCATTCCACCATGGGACTTGTTTTTTAGTAATGGTATCTTTTGTTTGGGGGATGTTGCTTTTGAAGGTTCAAAGCTCTATTTATATTTGTTAGAATATATAACTAGGATATAACCATAGTTACAGACCAACATACATTTATAAAACTCAACAACCAGAATACCTTGTTGCACTAGCTCCAATTATAAAATAGTTAATTTGGTTCAAGAGAAGAAATTCTTGAGCGAGAATATCATTTTTGCGAATTTTATTATCTTGAATCAAGTGGGAAAATCATTGATCTCAGAAATTATTCTTAATTCAAGTAAATTTTGAATGATTTTCGTGGTTAACGAATTTTTCTCTTGAATCAAGTTAATTTTTTTATCATTGTAAAAGACCGTATTTTGACATATGAGCACATCAAATTACATCAAGCCAAAAATGTCTCAATATGGCCAATATTCAAAAATCATATATGTACACATCAGACCAAATAAGGCTATATATAGCATCACATTTTTTTATATGGCCATAACAGAAAAGTTTTTTTGCACGGACACACCGATATTTTTAAAAATCCAATGATGAGAAATTTTTATTGTACACGAAGAATTCGTGATTCCATGGAAGGAGCAAAGCAAACGGGTCTCGTTCGATCCTCTGATTGCCATCCGACTTGAAACCCACGCTTTGGTAAAAAGGCTTTTGTTTAAACCGACAAATGCTCAGCTGTAGAGTACACGAGTAAGCTCGTCTACTTGAGGATGAGAAGGTTGATCGTTGAGAAGATGAGTCGGTTTCGTTGGCTCACTCAACGATAAAGTACTAGAGGACAAGCTAAACTTGCTGAAACACGCAGTTTCTCACAGATTGAGCCATTGAAATAAGATCTCACTTTGCACTTTGTGCTCCTCACTATCAACAAAATAGTCTAGTCACGATTTCTCCGACAACTTGTCAGGACAATTTGTTGTTAAACTTTAGTATTCATGCTCAAGTAATAATCGTACCAGCAGGTGAGTAAGAGTAATTTGATTAAGACAAATATCATTTTGTATTTATTAATGTTACGTGTGTCTAATTTTATCCGTAACGAAATAGTTTAGGTTATTAATCGAACAACTTTGTTTCCGGTGATTGTATGTTTTATTTATTTCCAGACAAGTGCAGTATCAGTCGCTAAAACTGATACTCAAGAGAAAGGTATCCGCGATAACATTCTTTGGCATAAAATCTTCTCACTCAATTACAACACATGACATTTAATGTCGCGTGTGTCAAGTCGGCCCACTCGCTGGACTTAAAACTTCTATATAATAAAATATATAAGAGTAATAATTAGGATTGACCAATTTACGCGGAGTAACAGTCGGTTATTAACTCTAAACATTTAAAGTTACAATTGGCATGAAATATAATTTGCTTCCGAGTTAACACAGATTATTATCCTCTTTGGTACGGCGCATCATTATAACCAAACAGTATGGCTGTTATCGGGTCTGGTTCGAGTAACCCACACGCGGGTCTCACCGGTTGTCACTTGTTTAAAATAAAATAAATAAGTTTAAGAGAGCCGAGAGTAAAAAATATAAAAATAGCCGAGTCGAGTCATTAAAACCAAGAAGAAGAACGGTAATTGGCGACGATATCATCTCTGATGTAGACACGACATCGGCTGAGTTTCGTAACCTCCAGCCGCTAGCGGTTATGGGTCCCTTTGTATATACATGTTGTAGGTATAGGTATGAATGCATTGGTTTTTTATTTTAAAGTAATAATGGATATCGATTTAGAGAGGTGAAATCAGATGGATATAAATATAGATAAAATTTTCTGTGCATTGTGTAATGCAAGGTAGTACAGTGATAGAAAAATTTGTTGGTTTTGAATCAAGAAGAATATTTTTTGATAAAAGAAAATTATTTTGAAGAGAGTTGGTTGTTTTGCGTCAAATATTTTCGACAAGTAAAAATAATGCAGAAGCTTTAGGTATATAGTTTTGGTAAATTCAGAGGATGGAATATTTTTGAGTAAGACTAAAATTTTGAAGAGAAAATTTTTCTTGAATAAAATGATTTTTATTCTTTTGAGTGTGCATTGAAAAAAAAAATACTTAATTTAAGAAAATTATTTTTAAAATAATCTAGAATTTAGGAATTATTTTCGGTGGAATATACAATAAGAGAAATTCGAGGATTGTTGATATTTTTGACCCAAGTTGGTATCTTAAATAAATTTTACCGCCTATCTTAATCCTTAAAAAAGAAATTTTTGAGTGAAATTTAGGTTACTTAGTTTGAAAACAGTAAAATTCTTGAATGAAAGACTTTTTCCTTTTAATACAAGAGTTTTATCTTCATCAATAATAAAAAAAAATTAACCTTGCAAGAAAAAAACTTAGACAAAGAAATTCTTTAAAATTATTCTTTGAATGAAATATGATGATCTTGTTTGAAAATATTTAAGTTTTTTGGTTAAATTGGTAAAATTCTTAAATTAAAAATTTTTTTATGCTTAAACTTTATTTTCTCGATTCAATTTATGAATCTTTTGAATTGATTTAAACTGAAAATTTCGAAACAAAAGTAAAATTATGAAGAGAATATTTTTCTTAAATCGTCGTTTCTTTCAGTGTATAAATAAAATAAAGTATGAGTATTTAGTAAGTTTTTATCCTGGGCAATATAGTGAACAGAGGAAAAATTTAATCATGTATGTACAAATACAAGAGGTGCTTGTAGAGTAGTGTCTGTGGGTGGACGTGTAGTTTACTGAGGTACGCGAGGAGTGTAGAAGTATAAGTACTAATACAGCCTGACACTGAGTAAAGAGTGTGTAAACGACACACAGTGGAGTAGAGGAAGTGAAGAGAAAAGGAAAAGGAAAATGTGTAGAATAATAAGTACTTGAGGATGAGAGAAACATACGGCAGTAAAATTGGCAAAAGCGTCTCAATTTTCTTAACAATTTTGTTCGGTAACTGTACGGTATGGTTAAGGTCTCCTTAGAGGACGCTTTTTTCACCGGAATCCCATGTGTGCCTGATTGACCGGTATTAACAGAAATAGCTTGCGGCCAAATTGCCGGGATAAATCTCGACACTTAAGAGGACGCCGGAATTTATTGACCGAAAATTAATAAATAAAATCGGGAAGTTTATTAGGCTTATTTCTACGCTCGCCGACAAGCTGACATAAGCTAGTGAGAAAAGTATGTTTATTGTTACCGTTTATCGTTATTGTGTGTGGGGTATTGCATGTTAAATC